CCCTGGCAGGATGCAGGGTAGTGTGGGTCAGCAGTGAAAAGCAGCAGCAGTGCTAAGCAGGCTGTGGCTTGGGAGTGAGGCAGACAGACAGAGACAGGCACACAGACAGCACCCAGTCGATAAGTGGAGGGAAAGGGGTGGGGGGAGAGGGAAGGCGTGGGAGGGGGGAGATCAAGGTCCCTGTGGGGACAGAGAGAGTGGGGCAGGATCAGGGGCAGGGGTGAATGGGGCCCCAGGGCTGGGGCAGGTTGTCCAGAGGCACGGGAGGGAGGGTGCAGCTTCCCGCAGCAGCATGCAACCCCAGGGGGAGACATGGAGGTATGTGCCCCCCATGGGACAGAGGCGGGCTGCTCGCAGTGGACTGGGGTTCTGCACCCTGCTGCCTTTCCCCAGGAGCTCAGCCGCACAATGCCATTTCCACCTGCTGGGCGAGCAGGGGTCATGGTGCGTGATGGCCATGCGGCATATCCCCTGTCCGCCTGGTGGCAGGAGGTGCACCGGGCTTACATGGCTGAGCTCCTGGGGCAAGGCAGCAGGGTGCAGAGCCTCAGCCTGCAGTGGGCAGCCTGCCTCTGCCCCATGGGGGGCACTTGCCCTCATGTCTCCTCTGCGGGGGTGCTGCTGCGCGAAGCCCCCCACCATGCCTCTGGATGACCTGCCCTGGCCCCAGGGCCCCATTCACCCTTACCCCTGCTCCTGCCCCACTCCCACCCTCACTTCAGGGGCCTTGATCTCTAAAGTGATTCTAAAAACATCAAGTATAATGTTTTCAGGGCCTTGTTACATGGCAAGTCTGGGCAGCTCCTGTAGCTTTTAACCCCTGGATTGTCAGTACATTAACACCTTAAAGTAGTTTTAAGTACTTGTTATGCAGCTCAAAGTTACATCACTCCAGGGCAGGATCCTCTCTGATCCATTAAGGTGTTGCCAGTCCTCACAGACCTGCCACTCAAGTTGAAGTCCTTCAGTGTCCCAGGATCTCTTGCACCCTGCCAGTAGAACAGGGATCAATGCCTGTCCTGGCTCACCAGCCCTCTAGTAGCAACTCACAGCTCCAGCTCCTAGTCAGGCCCCTGCTCACCAAGCCTCTAGTGGCAAGTCCGAGCTGTGCAGGTTGGGGACAGTCAGAGGGAGGGTGTGACTGCTCCAAACTTTAAACTAGCACTAAAACCGATCAACATTTGCAGCTCACAGCAGAAGCTGTAACAAGACTCTCAGATTCTACACCCAAAAATGCTGTTGTAATCACAAAGGGCACCAACCTGATTTTAAAGAAGGAAGGTTTCCTACTGTCTTCAGTGAGGTCAAAGTTTCACTCAAAATATCTAAGTCAAGTCCTACATCTGTTTCAAAGCATCATGAAGCAATCACATTACAGAAGAAGGCACACTAACACCCAAAGGCCTGTGGAAAATTCTGTGTATAATTTTATACTTTTCTCCCTTTTTAGGGACAAAAATCAGGAGAATTCAGATACTTTGACTATGGTGAGAGAAACCAGGCTCATTACCACCAGGTATGGAAAAACGATTTCTTATTGAGAATGAAATGGTCTTTTAAAAATAATAATGATTTTTAAAAAGAATATAAAGAGTATTTCTATACACAAGGACAAGTCACCCTGCAGGCTGCTATCCTGCACATTGATGTCTGGAGCCTAAAACCTCTAATCTGAGTCTGCTTCATGCTATCGACCTATGCATTTCAGTTTGAAACTACTGCCCAATTTGACATGTCTGTGCTCTAGAGTCTGCTGGGTGCCATAGGGATAAGTACAGTCAGAGCTGTGTCAAGAATCTTGCATGATATATTATGTTTGAATACTGTATTCTCTGCCTTAGCTCTATAAAGTAAGAGCTGCAGGAAGGAAGATGCTGCTAGAACAGTTAGCACTTTGACAGGGGGGAGGGGAAAACTAAGCCACATATTGTGGAGATCACGGAAGAGGAACATACAGCAGTGATGCATATTCAGAGGAGCTTTCAAGAAGGGAACCAGGTACATGAGATTAGGTTTAAGATATTTAGTTTACCTAAAGCTTAGGGCTGCTGCATTCTAGGGACTTTTCCTATAGCTAGACACAACTATCATATTTCCTTTCTTTTTTCTGGTCCTATCTTTAAAAATGTGATTGATATAATTAGTCTAAAAACTCTAAAACACTGAAAATATACAACATGTGTAAGATTTACATGAAAATAATATCTCCCAAGCACAAGAAGCATAGGGTCAGATATTTGAACAGGATTTTGGCTGGCCAAAGGAAGTAAACCTTTTAAGAGTGAATCTAATTTAATAAACTTTCAAAAAGATTAAGGCAGCTTTTCAGTTATAGAGCTAAGGCAGAAAAAACAGGTATAACAAATATAACATGCTATGCAACATTCTTTCCTCCTTACGTGCCAACTCTAGCAGGGAAGCTAGCTGACGGATGCTTCGTATTTCTAGCTAATCAACAGACAGCAGGGTGCTACATTAGAAAAAGAATCAGACACCCATTAAAGGGACCCTGAACCATAGATCACAGTTTGGGAAGCACTTCTATAAAACCAAGGAGGCATGTAGGAAACAGCAGTCAAATATTTAACTAATATGTTTGTTTAAAAATTACAAAAGCTGCTCAGACATGCATTTTTTCAGATGACTCCTCCTCACTACATGATAGAAGAAATGGCTGTACCAACTGCAGCCTGGTCTGGTGGAGCGGACTGGGTTGCAGACAAACAGGATGTTGACGAGTTGCTCCCTCGGATAAGTAACCTAGTTTGCCACAACCATGTTCCTCACTGGAACCACTGGGATTTCATTTGGGGTCTTGATGCACCTAAACATGTGTATTGTAAAATGACTGAGCTGATGAGAAAGCGTCCATAAAAACATACAGAAGTGTTTGGGGACTAAGAACTTCATTTACTTGTATTAGAATCTGTCCTCTTTGTTTGGCAATGGAGTGCATTTCTAGTTGTAATTTCTGTATATTTTTAAAAGCCAACCCTGGAGGTTATACATAAGGAAATGTATTTTGACTAAATTGACTTTATGGGGGTTTTTTTTTAATTTTGTGAGGGCCACTTTTTTCTCACCTTCCTGATGTAATTCAGAGGCAGATTCTATCATGTAGAAAGCTGAATTATATTTCTCAAAGAAAACACATATACAACAAAAAATATAATCTAGTTCCTATGAAAGGTTCTTAATATAAGTATAAAACAAATAAACATATATTTTTCCTCTATTATTTGTAGTATTTGATTTTAAAGACATTTTATCCACATACATGACCATACAATATTCTGAGGATCAGAATAGCCCTCCTGATGTTTCCAGAAACAGTCATCTTCAGAAAGACACCACAAAAGTCTGCTTAATTTGACAGATGACTTGTCAGGTGTTGGTAACATTTGATTCTTTCATTTGCTAATGATTCCAACATTTCCCTAATTACATTTTAGATTAGTAGTGAATTGATATTGAAATATCTATTATTAAATATACATGACTGAAAGTATTTGTTGCTTCTTACATTTTAACTGTTGTAATGGCAAGTTCCTGGTAAGGTTCTAGATTATGTGTTAAAAGCACAGTGATTTTTTTAATGTATGTAGGGACAGGTTTATTACTAACTGTGATGCCCAGATGCAAAAGGGGATGGCAGGGGAAAACATCAGTTTTCTGGAAAAATACAAAACAGAATACCATACAAAGAAGGACCAGTTTACTGTTTTCCTCAGTATGTTCAGGTAACTAAATTACCCAATCTGTTTTATAGAATAAGGTTAAAAGTATATTGCTGTGATTATAAATATTAAATAGCAAAGTTGGTAATCTAATAAATACTTTCCATTGTATTTTGCTGTTTTACTTACTATTTTATTTTCTGTTATGGATATAGTCATTCAAGACCACATGGTATAGTTTTAAAATTTTAATGTGCAGCTCTTTCTGTCCAACTCTTGCACTTCTTGTAAATGACAAAATACAGAGGGCAGAAACCCCTTAAGCAAATTTCTTCTTGCATTTTTAATACTATAACTTGATATTCTCACATCCTCAGAGCCACATACTGCTGGGATTTCAGAATGCCAGGTGGCAGCACCTGGGGCTGTGCACAGGCCACCTGAAAGGGCCTTGGCACACAATAAATTTATGCTGCTCCAAATTTGTGGAATTTAGTGCTGTAGCAAAGTTGGGATGTAACAGGAACAAGTTTATGTTCATGTTCCCAGTAAGTCTGAGCAGGTATTGTTCATGCTCCAGCACTACTACAGGGATGCTTAGCAGCCTGCCTTGCTGCAGGGATTCCCCCAATTCTGTTGATTTCTGAGAACAGCACAGAGGAAAGCACCAACTGCTTGCCTGGCTGACACTGCCCGCAACCTGCCCCCATCAGCTCATGGGAAAAGCTGAAGTTCAGGGTCCCAGAAGACTCATAGGGGAAACTGAGTTATGGTGAGGCTGGAGGATTCATGGGGAGGGGAGAATGAGGTTTGCAGGGCTCACAAGCTCATAGAAGAAACTGAAGCTCCTGGCTTCCTCTTGTAACAAGCAGCTGCAGTCACCACATTCTTCCTCCCCTCAAACTGTCCCTTCACAATCTTCTGTCTCAGCCCTCTATGCTGTGATTTTAAAAAACATGAGACAAACTCTTAAAAAAATCAGGAGATTGGCATGTAAATTATGAGATGCTACTTTGAAGTATGTGTGGGGGGGCTGTTATTTGTGAAGGCGTTGGGAGCTGTGGGTGTGCGTGTGGGATTTGGAGCCTGGAGAGGTTTGGAGCCCAGGGAGGGGGGGTCCCCACACACCCTGGCAGGATGCAGGGTAGTGTGGGTCAGCAGTGAGAAGCAGCAGCAGGGCTAAGCAGGCTGTGGCTTGGGAGTGAGGCAGACAGACAGACACAGGCACACAGACAGCACCCAGTCGATAAGTGGAGGGAAAGGGGAGGGGGGAGAGGGAAGGAGTGTGGGAGCAGGGAGATCAAGGCCCCTGTGGTGATGGAAGGAGTGGGGCAGGATCAGGGGCAGGGGTGAATTGGACTCCAGGGCTGGGGCAGGTTGTCTAGAGGCGCAGCAGGGGGGTGGGGAGTGCAGCTCCCCACAGCAGTGCACAACCCTGGGAGAGACATGGGAGCACATGCCCCCCATGGGACAGAGGTGGGGTGCCCACTGTGGGCTGGGGTTCTGCACCCTGCTGCCTTTCCCCAGGAGCTCAGTTGCACAATGCCATTTCTGCCCGCTGGGTGGTCAGGGGACATGGGGCATGCTGTCTGCGCAGCACATCCTCTTCCTGCCTGGTGGCAGGAGGCACACCGGGCTGGCATGGCTGAACTCCTGGGGCAAGGCAGCCTGCCTCTGCCCCATGGAGGGCACGTTCCCTCATGTCTCCCCTGGGGGTAGGCGCTCCTGCAGGCCTCCCTGCCCCCCCCCCCTGCCTCTGAACAACCTGCCCCAGCCCCAGGGCCCCATTCACTCCTGCCCCTGATCCTGCCTCACTCCTGCACTCGCTTCAGGGGCCTTGATCTCCCCCCTGCCCCTTCCTTCTTCCCCCATTCCTTTTCCTACACTTACCAGCTGGGAAAATCCAGAGATCTGAGGGTTCAATCACGAGATCGTGAGTCGGAGTTATTTTGACTTTGAAATCTCGAGTCTTATAATGGTTTCACAACAGTTGGCATTACTGAAATAGGGTCTTACTGTAAAAGCTGTCAGGCAATATAACTTCTGGGGTTTCTATCTGTGTTATCTATAATGAAGAATACGTACAGTATAGAGAGAAATCCTAGAAAGAAAATGATACTTTTAAAAAAAGATTTGTCTATTTTAAGTGATGTATCAGTAAATAGAGAGACAAACTTTGACAAACAACACACAGAAAAAGCTTTAACAACATAATAGAAAAGTTTGCCAATATAGAATTTCCACAAAGGACACCATAAAGCTCCTAGATAGAATAGTAACAGTGAATTCAACAAAAACTGCTAGCACGAACAGTTTCAAAACTTCTCACAGGGCAATGAAAAAAATTAGAACTGATTCTATAAGACATCAGGTATAATGTTTTCAGGGCCTTGTTATATGGTAATTCTGGGCAGCTCCTGTATCTTTTAACCCCTGGATTGTCTGTACATTGGCACCTTAAAGTGGTTTTAAGTACTTGTTATGCAGCTCAAAGCTACATCACTCTGGGACAGGATTCTCTCTGATCCATTGACGTGTTGCCAATCCCCACAGATGCGTCACCCAAGTTGAAGTCCTTCAGTATCCTAGGATCTCTCACATCCCTGCCACTAGAACAGGGATCGATGCCTGTCCTGGCTCACCAGCCCTCTAGTAACAACTCACAGCTCCAGCTCCTAGTCAGGCCCCTGCTCACCAGGCCTCTAGTGGCAAGTCCAAGCTGTGCGGGTTGGGGACAGTCAGAGGGAGGGTGTGACTGCTTCAAACTCTAAACTAGCACTAAAACCAATCAACATTTGCAGCTCACAGATTAAGGTGTAACAAGACTCCCAGTTTCTACACCCAAAAATGCTATTGTAATCAGAAAGGGCACCAACCTGGCTTTAAAGAAGGAAGGTTTCCTACTGTCTTCAGTGAGGTCAAAGTTTCACTCAAAATATCTAAGTGAAATTCTACGTCTGTTTCAAAGCATCATGAAGTAATCATATTGCAGAAGAAGGTACACTAACACCCAAAAGCCTGTGGAAAATTCTGTGTATAATTTTATACTTTTCTCCCTTTGTATTTGCAGTCACTACTTTCTTACTCCTCTAAAACTGTCCCTTCACAATCTGTCTCAGCTTTCTCCTCTGTGATTTTAAAATTCCTAGTGGGACACTCTCACTGCGAGGAGGCCCACAGCAGAATGTGCTTAACAGGACTAGTCCCTCCTTATTAGGGGGACAAACCACCTTATCACAGGTAGGTAAAGGGGAAAAATGAATTGGGGCAAAAGGGAATGCAAAAGTGGAGTGGGGGTGTGCCTGTCCTCATATGCTCATGGCATACAACCTGGTGGCTCTATGCACCCCACTAGTGTAACCTCCACTGGTGCAGTCGATGGGGGATGTAGCCCTCAGACACTTGGAAGTTGGAGGGCCCCGTGTTATACAAACAAACTCACTTTGTGTTGTCCAGGAGGATCCCAATTTATGGCACTCCTATGATTCTGGATCAGTTTGAAAATAGGTAGCAGAATGCACAGTTTCCATTAGATGTTCTTAACCCTCATCAGTTCTCATGAAACTGTAACTGTTGTTGTTCTCATGGGGTAACTTGTTACTGTGAAGAGACCAAGAGTACTTACTGGGAACAGACCCCTAGCCAGGGGAGTTTGCTCAGCTGTAGCAGCGTGGCCATGCTGCAATGGGACCTCCTGATCCACCCCAGCACCGCTTTATCGTCTCTCCAGGTAAGGCAGATTGGCCTAATTAAGCGGCTGGGGCTATTTCCGGCCCCGGGAGATGGGACGGGGAGAGGAGAGTAGAAGGAGAACATGGGGCAGGCATATAGGGTGAATACCCATCTGCTGCCCAAAATTGAAGTCCCCGGGAATGGGGCAAGAGACCTGCAGGGTCTTTAGAGCTCGGAGGATTTCACACCTATAGAAAAAAAAGAAATGTTTCCACATTAATTGGTTGCCGTGGGCAGTCACTTAATCCGGCACGGCGTCAATTACTGTAAGTGAGAGGACCCTCCCCCCCCCCCCCAAATGCTTGTTTGCAGCTCCGGCAATTGAGCACTTGTCAATTGAATGCAAGGAGAAGAGAGAGACGGCCTTTGAGTTCTCTGCAGCTGGGAAAGAAACACTGTACAGACAGCAAGTTTTTCTTTAATTTTATTTTTCTTTGCAAAGATGTTTTTGTTGTGTACCTGATCTGGCACTGGGGCAAGTGTCAGTCAATGCTGGGTCGGGGAGTCATCCCCTCTCCCCCCATTAATTAGGTCATCAAAGTCGTGGCAGGCGAGATAAGAGCAAGGAAAACGGACCCAATTGTGCTGACTGGCTCTGACCTCGGGGAAGAATGCCATTGAATGTCAATAGGATGCAAAGGCCCAAGTCCGGACCCAGTGATATCCTCACAGCTACCCTGCAATTTGACATTGTTGGTCTCATGGGTAACTTGTTACCCCACCCGCATGAACAAAATGGAACCAGTGACAACAGTATAAATGTACCAAAAACTCAACATACAAATTGTTTGAAAGAGTATTTATGATGATTTGAACCCAAAATATTATTTAACTAGAATTATGAACAAAATGTAAACTTTATTTAGAATTTCAAAACGTGAATAAACAATTTGCTAAGTCTGCAGTTCACACTGTTTTGAAATTTACAATTAACAATTACTTTCAAATACATTTCCTAACTGTTTTAAATAAATATTGCATTCCTCACAAAGCAGTAGTGATGTATTGTGGTGAACACAAGCAAATCGCTTGCAATCTTTGCATTGTTTCTGGGTTTTGCGGTCATCTGTCCTTGGAGAAAAAGCACAATGTCCACACATGCTTGCAGAAGGTTCTACTGGGGTGTGTTGTGGCAATTTGTAACTTAGGGCAGTCATATCAGACTTGACAGACTTAGACAGATTACGTGTATCCATCATTCTTCATTTCATTTGTCCGTTGATCAACTGTTCTCCAAGCTCCTGCAAAATAAATGTGCTATCTTCTGAAATGTGATAATTGCTTCCAGTTTGCATT